CTTGCTATAAGCTCTGTGATGCCACAGCACTCTACTGAGGGTGATAAAGTAAAACTCTGTCTCTACAAAGAAAAAAAAGAAAAGAAAACACTGACGAGGTGTGACGTGAATACCTGTTGCGTCTGGGTAAAGGCTGGGTAAAAGCTCCTTGTACTCTTATGTAGGTTTGATGTTATTTTAAACTACAGAGCTTAAAATATATACTGGGAAGAAAACTACACATTCAGAAAATTCTATCACTAATTTAATGTTCTGTTGCAAACTGGGAGGAACACACAGTGAGGACTGTCATGGCAGGTCCCATGGCAGTGCTCCTGGGGAATGGGGTCTGAGTGAGGCCATTCCTCAGGGGCCGAGTGATATCATAACATCTTGTAGCTTTCACTAGCTTCAAGTAGGGGCAAGCCCACCTTCCCCTCCTTTGGAGACTGGGTTGGGCACTGGCAGCTCAAGTGGAGAAAAGGCAGACTCCGGGGCCATCGCCACCTTCTGTCTAGGCTGGCAGAACTGGGCAATCCTCCCTCCTCCAGCACCCGCAGAGCCTAGGGTCTTGCACACTGTGGCTTCCCATGCAAGATGTCAGATGGGACTGGGAGAAGGCTAAAGGGGTCTGGTCTTCCCAGTGACCATCCTGCCTCAGAGGCCAAGCCCCCTGTGGCCTGACTGACTGCTTACCTGACTGACTGCTTACCTGACTGACTGTCGGCGGGACTGCCGGCCCTCAGAGGAGACCACAGTGGGCTGATAGGCTCCAAAGATGAAGTCCTCATCACCCCAGACATCTTCATCTATGAATTAAGGGGCCTGTGATCATGACCAGGAGCAGGATAAGCTAAACTCTTTTGCAGCTGCAGAACTCTTTGTCTAAAAAAAGCTGAACCAGCAGCTCAACTATGAGATGAGCAGAGAAGCTGCTTTGGAGGGAGCAACTGCAAGGCCACAGTGAGCTGGGAGGATGCACTAGCTGGGCCCAAGATTCCCTAAGCCCTGTGAGCTGTGCTGTTGCAAGAACAACTCTCAACAGGTGGCTC